GTCTGTCAGTTTTCCCCAAAGAGACTGTGTTATGGAAAACATTTAATCAACATGTGTGACATGTAAGTGTGAAATTCCATGATCATATATTCTCTATGTAATGTTACCTACAATTCCTTAATATTTAAATAATAATAATAATAATAATAATAATAATAATAATAATAATAATAATCATCATCATCATCATCACCATCAAACTGCAGTCTCCCATTTGTCCCAGTAAGTCACTGTAAGCTAAGCAAGGCCTCCTCTTTGTGGGAAAAGGCTGGAAACACTACACTACATTTTGGGAAAAAAAAAAAAAAAAAAAAAAAAAAAGATTTTACATTACAGAGGACCATGTGACCTGAACAAAATGGATACACATTCACAAGTGCAAGCAGACTCATATTGCTATATTGCTAAGTATACAGTCACTTTAAAGCTACCAAAACTTTGTTGTTTTTTGTTACTCAGCCATTTTTTAACATGGCATTACAGTGGTTCAGGGTGGATTCAGAGCCAGGAATACTGGACATGAAGCAGGAATATACCCTGATTGTGATGCCAGTCCATCACAGCCACCACTACTGAACCAGTCCATTCACACCTAGGGGCAAATTTAGAGTAGCTAATTCACCTATAGGCAGGTGGGTGGAAACCAGAGAACCTGGAGGAAACCCAAATGGGCACAAGGAAAGCCTGCAAAGCTCATTTACATTTATGGTATTTGGCTGACACCCTTATCCAGGGGAGCTTATCTCACACAACATTTGTCACCCAGCAGGGGCAGCTTGGCAGTGCTGGGATTTGAACTCATGACCTTCCAAGCAGTAGTCCAACAGCTTAACTGCTAAGCTACCACTGACTCAACCTCTGAAACTCCACACAGACTTGAGAGATCCTGGAGCTGTGAGGCGGTAATGCCACCACCATGCCACCACACATGCGTCATGGCTATTTATTTATATACGTACCAAAATACTGTATATTTCTAAATAAAGTGCACGTCAGAGAGTGTGATATTTTTGCCATTTATTCATCTTTATAAACAGTAATGATAAACTGTACACATAAAACCAAAGCCACATACATAATAACTATTTTCATGTTGAATTTAAAGGAGAATCCTCATTCAGCTCCCCAGTTTAAGCGTCTCAAACCAGCTCTGGGTCTTGATGCTCACGACGCCTCTGTCAGCAGTGGCACTGATCCAGCAGTCCTCCTGAGTGCCACCATTCAGCGGTCCTGAACACAGACCAGTTCAATGCGGTTACTGTAGTACAGCACAATGAGTACAAAGACTGACACGTATCTAATATTCCACACATGCTGGTGTATGCTGTTTACTGCATTTATTTGCCCTTAAAAGACCCACTGTCTTCTCATTTTTGTGATGATAAAATGTAAATGTGTCAATAAAAAAAATTTAAAAAAAAGGACTGCCTTTTGTCCCGTGTGTAGCAGCACTGAGCACTAGCATTTACTCCACTGGGCATATCTAAGTTTAGTAGTATGACTCCACTACCAAGAGCCTTATTGGTCAAAGGACATCATTCTTTACCTCTGTAATGTCATACCAGTGTGCTCATATTGTATAAAAACAGGAGGGATTATAAGGCACAACAACATATTGGCATCTGTTCATGTTTTTATGTAGGTTATAGATCAGGGAACGAGGAAACTCTTCCAATTGTTTGATACATGGTTATTATCTTTATTGCATTCTCTTTGAAATCAATGATATGAGCAAGTGCTCATGATTGCACAACAAGTCAAGTGGCTTTATTGTCATTTCAACCATATACAGCTAGTTAGTACACAGTGAAACGAAACAACCTTCATCCAGGACCAAGGTGCTACATAAAACAACACAGAACTACAGTAGACATTACATATATTTACATAAAGTGCACAGTGCAAACATGTGCAGACGGCACAAGACGGTAAAAAAAACTATCAAAACAAGACAATGGCACAGTGAGTTACAGTGCAGCGCTGACTAGCACACAGTACTAATAAAAAAGTGAATCTTATGGCGGTAGTGCAAAAGGTGGATAAAGATTGACAAAATAAGTTGCTGGATGTAAACATAAGGAGCAGCAGCCAGGTGGAGAGTATAAATATACAGTATATAATAAATATTTATAGCAGCAGAAATTGAATACAGGTGTGTGCAAAAATTGCAAAGAGGATGGGGGTGATGCTCAGCTGAGTGTGTGTGTACACAGGAGCATAGTGTTTGACTCGGTATTAAGTATAAATCAATAAGAAGTGACATTTAACACATCTGTATCACTTCTTTCTGGTCAGTTAGTGGAAAAGTCCTCGCGTTATCACTGTCAGCTCCTTGGATAAAATGTGTCAAATGATAAAAAGTGTGAACTGTAAAGATAGGCCTTTTCTTGCTTGGCTAGAATCTTGGTTAGTATGAAGAAGCTACTCACCGGTAAGCTCAGTTTTACCCTCAGATGAATGGATTCGTGTCTCCTGAGCAATCTCTGAACTGGCGTCCACTGTCGTCCCACACAACTGCACCCAGGCCTTTAAAGTGGACGGCACACGAACACTCACAGCACCTTCACAGATGTAACAGGGAAGGAGAAAGCTTTTTAGGAAATGAACGACACTCTGTCATTCTTTACATTATTATGTCTTACGTTATACTGTGCTGTTGGTTAACCTTTATGTTAGGAGTAAATGTATTAGATACCATAAAACCGTTTTATTATGGAATACGATCATCATTAAGCATGGGACAGCATACAAAATCCCTCAATACTGAAGAATATTATATCTGTAGGACACCCTCTCCATTGTATACAGTTTTGTAATGATTTTAAAAATAAAACAGTAATTATGAAGCTTTACATTATGCAATCTAAGACCGCCAGTATCAACTCATGACCAGGGTGAGGTCGAACACTGGCATAAGTCTCTGGGAAGTTTACAAAACCATGACGTACAGTACTGTGCAAAAGCCTTAGGCACATGCAAAGAAATGCTGTAGAGCAAAGAAGCTTTCAAAAATAATGAAATGAAATGTTTCTACATTAAAACAAATACTATAAAGAGCAGTAAACAGTAATAAATGAAAAAAGTCAATATTTGGTGTGACGATCCTTCGCTTAAAAAAAAAAGAAATAGTAGTCTCAGGTACAATGTGTGCAGTTTTAGAAGGAAATGAGCTGTAAGTGTTACTGAGCATCTTGCAGAAGCAGCCACAGCTCTTCTGGAGACTTTGACTGTCGCACTTGCTTCTTATTTTTGCAGCAAAACCCAGCAGCCTTCATTATGTTTTTTGTCTGAAAAGTGTCTCTTATGTAATATGCTGCTTTCTTTACTGACATACAAACATTTTTGTAATTTAATTTTGTCCTAATGTTTGGAAATCTAAAATGTTTCTGTACTGAATCAATAATGCAGAAGTCATAAAATAAAACTCTACAACAAAGTTTGTACTAAAAAAAAATAAGGTGCCTAAGATTTTTGCACAGTACTGTATATTACAGAGCATCAACCAAAATTCCATGTTCACAGCTAAACAAAAAGCACAAAGCTTTAATAAATATTGATGCTGTAAAATACCTTGCTGTGTATGAAGCTCAGCTGCTCCTGTTTGGCTCACATACGCATCAATGTTTCCAGCGTTAGTGTGTGCCGTTAGGACTCCGCTAGAACTGTCTGGCAGGATCAGAGTAAGTCTTTATGAGTTTAACACATAAAACATTTCTATTCAACTTCAGACAGCAAATTGACATACCAATGATGATATCTCCTGTGTCACTCCGCACACGTGCGTCACCTGTTCAATAAATCAGAGCACATACTCAAACTACATAATTAAATACCATTTAATTATAGTTAAATGCTACGAAAACTAATGTTTCATCTGATCAGAACACGTGTCAGATCGCACGATGGTTGAAGTCCCCAAAAGGCAAGTCAGAAGAACAGATATGATTGGTTAAAGGCAACTAAAATGGATAATTTCTTAAACTATATAAAAACATGTCCCACACACACGTAGAGATAGGGAGAATACATTATTAGAGAAGCTAACACTAATACAACTACTGAAGTGTTGGTTACGTAAGGAATAACACACGGCAGACCATGCAGTGGAGCGCAATTAAACAACTAAAGCAGTCGCTCAGTTACTTCTGAAAACTCCTGAAGATTCTCCTGTGTTGGAAAACTTACAGACTGTTACACAGCACTGACACTGGAGACTCCTTCCATAAATGTTACATAAACATCTCCTAACAGAAAGCGTCACCTCATCAACAGTTACAGGTTTTTCATAGTTGCTGTAACCCAGAGTTTTTGTGCAGCAAAAACGAAATGAAAGGATCTGGATCACTCTCTGGATCACTCTCTGGATCACTCTCGTTTCTCACCATGTATATGCCCAATATGGATTTGCCCTGAAGATGAAGCCAAAGCACTGGACTCAGCATAAATGGCTTTCACATTTAGTGGACCATTTTCTGTGGACATATTCATGGATGTTCCCTGGACCTTCTTAATGTCAACTCTCTAGAAAATGTACACAAATTATGTCATTGTTAAACGTTAATAAATTGTAAAATACATGTACAATACAGTATGGAAGAAGATGTGGGCGGTTTACACTGTGTCCTGCAGTGATTATCTCCACATCGCCATGGATGGTGCCCATGCCAGTGATGTTTCCTCCGCTAGACCGTACCTGTACTTTGTGACTCTAAAAATAAAGAACACCACAAAATATGAATACTACAGATGTATACTATATCTATATCTATACTATACTACATCTATATATACATACTATACTATAAATACTAAAGTACATCTATAGTATTCATAATACTACAACTATATCTATACTATACTACATCTATATATACTATACTATACTATACTACATCTATAGTATTTATAATACTACAGATGATACTATGAATACTTCAGATGTAATTTATTTGTGCTCAGTCTAGGGCTGTTCATTTCAGCTCATTTCAGCTCATTTCAGGGCAGTTGTGGCTTAATGGTTAGAGCGTCTGACTTGTAACCTGAAGGTTGTGGGTTTGAGTCTCAGGTCTGGCAGGGATTGTAGGTGGGGGGAGTGAATGACCAGCACTCTCTCTTCCACCCTCAATACCATGACTAAGGTGAGACCCTTGAGCAAGGCACCGAACCCCCAACTGGGTGCTGCAGCAAAAAAGGCTGCCCACTGGGGTGTGTGTGTTCACTTGGATGGGTTAAATGCAGAGCACATATTCTGAGTATGGGTCACCATACTTGGCCACAAGTCACTTCACTTTACTAAGCATTAAAAAAAAACATTTTGCCTAATCAAATGCAAAACTTGCATAGTAGCACAGAGTTTTACCTTGACAGACTGAAGGACGCAGTGACCTCTTTCTGTCTGCACCTGACACAGATCACTTTCCATGTTCTGGATCCTCACACTGCCATTCCCACGACTAACAACATGAAGGTCTGCAGAGACAAATATAGTTTGTGCAAGTGTGCTAAAAGTGTCATGTTAACTGGCCATCTAGATCAAAAAAACATGTTAGTAGGTAAACTGACTACTCTAAAATGCTCTTACATGCTCAGAAATAAAGTTACCATACTTTACTTTTCCTTGTCTTTAGAGTGAAACCATCAAAAGAACATCTTTGCAGCTTTAGTATGTTTTTTTTTTTTTTATAGGAAAGCACATGTGGTGTACCTTTAATTAGCTTACACTATACAATAGTGGTCCTTGAGAGCTAACATTGTACCTTATATTATTTTAAAATTATTTTCTAGGTAAAATATACACACTAAAGGAATGAAACTTATCCGTTTCATGGTGGCACCCCAAGGAAACATACAGTTTGGCACCTTTATTTCTGAGTGTAGGTGTAAATGAGTGTGTGAATGTGTGTGCATAGTGGCCTGTGAAAAGACAACTGTTCCATCCTGGGTGTCCTGACTACTGAAGATGAATGAATGAATGATTGAATGATTGAATGAATGAATGAATTTTTTAAATCCATATCCACAAGACCATCTCATGAAAGGAAGATGCCTCATGTAGCCTAATATTACACCACACCTCCAAGACATGGAGCAAATGTAGAGCACACACCACTTTTAACAGGAGTTGTGACTTGTACAGACAGATTACTGATGGCCTCGTCGCTGATAACTTGTAGTTCCTTGCTCTGCTCATCATAGTGAACTTGAACCGTGTCCAGTGCAGTGACGTCATCACCGCTGCGACCGCGCACAGTAACAAAGACCCGATCCGCTCCCGGAAGTGCGTGTGCATCCAGGGGCTGGACTGAGACGTTACAGTGTAAATAGCAGCTAATTTTAATAAAAGGGCTGACTGTGAAAGTCCACTGTTTCAAAGGCTCGTTAGCGGCATCCGAAAAAGCCCGAAAAACCCGAGAAGGATAGTGTCTTAAACATTCTTGCAGATATTTCAAACGAACAATTCCGTAGAATAAACTGTGTCTCATGATGAAACTGTGATTAGCAGTAAACATGTGGCGAGGTTTAATCCGCTTCTAAACACATCGTCCTTCAGCCGATCTGCAACGCGCATGCGCCGAGTTACGTAGCGCTGATGTAGCCCGAGCTTTACCGCGCATGTGTTAACGGGTCACGGCGCGAGTCAATCGACCGCGCATGCGCAAAACACAAACCTCTGATGCTGTTCTTATCAGAGTTAATATACTTTCGAAGGGTTCTGTTAAATTACAAATTCTCTCCTTGCTGTTGCACATCAGTACAAGTAGTAGCTGGGTGAACCTGTTTCTCTATCTCATCCAAACCCTTAGAAATAGATGAAGATTAGAATATGTTAATGTCACATTGGAGGTGATTTCTTACAATATGCTTCGTGTTCTACTATAAAATATCTTATAAGAAACAAGCTTAAAAACTTATCGTGTAAGTTAATTCATCCATTTTACTCAGTCAGTTTGCATCTAAAGAAGAGGGATTCTAACATGGATGCTATTTGCAATTTTTATGGTTGTGCTGAAGAATAGAAAATCCCATCTGTTTTGGCAATGTATGCGTTGTTATTTTTGAAGGCCTATGCTTTATCAAGGCCAGTTTAACAGTTTACTTTATAAGTTACACTGCCTCTGCTACCAGCCACAAGTTATGGTTCTTAAATGGCAAAACAAAGCTGAATAAAGACATCTGTTCTCTCACTATAGATCAAAATTAGATTATCAATAGATTTAAAGAGTGTATCTCCCAATTCAGTGCTGTGATTTGAATGAAAAGGAGCTGCAGACAGACAGTTAGAGAGACATAAAGTTGCCTCAGACCTTGGGTATTTAAAGGAACATGACTAGTGAATAAAACAAAAAAACGCACTCCTTTGCTCCATTTCCATGCTCTGAACTCGCATTTAAGAAAAGACTCAACAGTACATCCAGCTCAGAGAATATGGCTTCTTCTGCAATACCTCTTCACCTGTTTCCATAGAATATCACTTCTGCATATGGTTTAGGAACAGGAACCTGCAATACACACGTAGAAGCACAAGCACAGCACAGCATAGCAACATGATCACTCATCTGTATATTTTCTCACACCAAGCCCAAGTCCAAGTATTTGCCCCATTTGACCGTTTCGACATTTTATAGTGTTACAACCTGGAATGAAAATGGACCCAAGTGGGATTATATGTAATGAATATAAACAAAATATTCCATAATATTCAAGTAAAATTCCAATTAAGTCCATTTCAATTGCAGGTTGTAACACTACAAAAACATGGAAAAGGGGGTGAATAGTTATGCAAGGCACTGTATTTTATTTTAACAGTGCCATATTGCTTCAGAAATTGGTTTAGATTCTAACTGCGATTGCTTCAGTATGTTTAGTGGATGATAAATTGTTTTAAATGAGCAACGGTGTGACAGGTACCTATTCCGGGGACACTGGGCGGAGCAGGAGCCCGAAGCTTGACGAGGTGCTCCACCTTAGCTGAGAGAGCCTCCCGAGCCTTTCCAGAAGCATTACTCTTCTGTACTTCAAGCTGCTCTAGGAGCTCTTCTCTTTTTCCTGTAAAACCACAGAAAAATACACATCAGGCAAGATTTTTATTCTATTTTTATTTTATATTCCTTCCAACTGCTATTCCATTTCTCTTTACTATTCGGTACTCCTAGAGATTGCATCAAGTGAATTGCACCAATTGTATTGTTTGGCCCTGAACCTGAGTTCAGGATGATGAACTTTGATAAACATGCACTATGATAAACCTGCCATGAATGGCAAAATAAGCAAAGAACAGAGTTCATTTAGATTTCATTCAAATATATCTAAGACTTAGAATTTTAAACAGTTTAAACACAGCCAAGACTGAAACATCTTCCCTACCAATTAATCGGCACAGTAGTAAATGATCAGTGAATTTCCTTATTGTAGTATCAGAGAATTACACCAGACGTCATTACCATTCTTTACTATTCATAACAACCTAACATCTGTGTTAAAGTGACTCGTCAATTTATTATCTGCGTTAATTTCTCCTCAGAATTAGATTTAAGTCATCAACCTTTGAAATGAGTCTACAGTTTAACATGACTTTATCTAATAGGTGCCTGATAGAGTTTATATTAAAATTGTTAAATTTAGATAAAACATATCTGATACACAGCACGGTTTAAGCATTGTCTGCATGTCGGCGTTTAACATCTAAAACTGACCAATTGTGGTGATGTTACAATCGTCACAATGGCACATGCAATATTCCAAGTTCTAGTTCTGAAATAAAATGGCAGCCTTCCTGGGAGACTTTAAACACTTGCTGTACTGTTACAGGCTGTACATGCCTGAGGCAATGGTAATAACCTGTGCTGCTAATAATTAATCACAAACACAGCTTGTTTTCTGTACAACCCTTTCAAGGGCACAGCTAAAGTAAATATGTTAATAAACAATAAAAAAGAGGATTATTTTCTCCATTTTGTCCACAGGTTTTTGGCATCTGTCTCTAATGTCTTATTAAGTCTCTCTTGCATGCCCACATGTCTCGGGCTGGTGAATGTTCAATAGTAAAATGCCATGACAAAATCCACAGGCTAGGCTAACTGTTAAAACTATTCTCTAAATTAGCTATCAAGAAATCCAGCTGCAATGTTTTTTTTGTTTTTGTTTTTTCAATTAATTTCAGTGTATAGTTTTTTGACACAATTATATTTAGTAGTCTACACGAATTTTAAGAAATGTACAAAAATGTAGACATTCATCCAAGTTATTTAGTTATTTAATTTTATCTTCAGCAGAAACAGTATTGTCACAGCTCTCTCTCTCTCTCTCTCTCATTCTGTGTGTGTGTGTGTGTGTGTGTGTGTGTGTGCTGTACCCTGTGTTTTCTTACATGAGTTTTTTTTTTTATAGGTGTTTTACACTGTGGTTACCAATTAAACTATGTACAACAGCCTTCCTTTGCCTTGCTGTATTTCTCTCTCTGTGTTGGCAGAAGATAAAAAACACAAAATGGAGAATAATCTGTATTATTCACAAAATGTATTATAAAAAAAGAACAATCTGATATTTGTATCTGATCTGACCATCTGTATCAGATTCTCTCTCTTTCATTGGATGCTATTCATTCATTCATCTTCAATAAGCGCTTTATTCTGGTCAGGGTGGTGGTGGTGGATCCAGAGTCTATCCCGGGAACACTGGGAGTGAGGTGGGAGAATTTACCCCAGATCCCAGCTCAGATGCCAGTCCATCATCAAAGAGCACTTAGCTATTCAAAACAGCTTATTAAAACATGCATGTAGGTGAAGAATGAGTGTGTATGTGTGAATGAGTGTGTGAATGTGTGTGCATGGGGCAGAGACTGGTGCGCATAGACTGCTGTCATAATCAGGGTGTGTGTGGGGTTTTTTGGTTGGTTGTTTTTTGTATTTTTGGTGGGGTTTTTTTTATGTAACTGCAGTGGTTACTGCATCCTGAGAGGATACATGTAGTATAATTAACCTTAAAGGCAGTTTAATCTGCTTCTGAAGTGCTTCAGAGAAGTGGTTAAGTCTCTGACACAGTATACTGAAACAAGCCCACCAAGGGTCTATGTG